GGGAGGAGCGGGAGGAGCGGGAGGAGCGGGAGGAGTGATGGGAAAAGGAGCGGGAAAACGGCGAGTGGGAGGAGGAGCGGGAGCAGGTGCGAGAGAGGGAGCGGGAGGGGAAATGCGAAGGGGCGGAGGAGCCGCGGGAGGAGGAGCTGGAGAAGGACGAGCGGCAGGGGAATAGGGGAGGGGGTTAGGAGCGGGAGAAGGAGCACGAGGAGAAACGGGGAGGGGCGGAGGAGGCGCGGGAGGAGGGGCGGTAGAAGGAGCGGGAGGAGGAGCGGGAGGGGAAACGGGGAGGGGGTTAACGAACGCGCGGGAGGCGGAGGAGGGGGAGGAGATATAGGTGGAGGAGGAGATGCGAGAGGAGCACGAGGACGAGCGGGAGAAGGAGCGGGAGGAGGAACGGGGGAAAGAGCAGGGGAAGCAGGGGGAGAATGAGAAGCAGCAGGAGGGAGAGCGGGAGAAGGAGAAGGAGGAAGAGAGGGAGGAGCAGCAGGAGAACGAGCGGGAGCGGGGCTATGGGGGGATCTTTGTCACGTTGTTTGGCGGAGGAGGAGCGGGAAGGGGAGGAGGAGGAGGAGGAGGAGGAGTGGGAGGAGCGGGAGGAGCGGGAGGAGGCGTGGGAGAAGGAGCGGGGAAGGAGCGGGAGCGGGAGCGGGGCTATGGCGCGGGAAGAGGAGCAGGAGGAGGGGGATGAGCAGGGGGAAAAGCAGGAGAAGCAGTGGAAGGAGGACGAGCAGCGAGAGGAGCGGGAGGAGCAGCAAGAGAGGGAGCGGGAAAAGGAGAGGGAGGAGGAGAGGGAGGAGGAGAGGGAGGAGGAGCGGGAGAAGGAGCGGGAGCGGGGCTATGGTGAGATCTTTGTCACGTTGTTTGGCGGAGGAGGAGCGGGAGGAGGAGGGGGAGTGGGAGGAGCGGGAGGCGGAGTGGGAGAAGGAGGGGGAGAAGGAGGGGGAGGGGATTCGGGATGGGGTTGCATCTCACAACCCCTTGCTCCATATTCTCCTTCTTATTTTGCACATTCGAAGGCTGCTCAGTTCATGCATACATGAAACTGTTGAAGCGGCCCTACCTGGGCGCGTGCACGCGTACGTATGTGTGTGTCACACACACAAACACAGATAAATAGATATATATATATATATATAAAGAGAGAGAGAGAGAGAGAGAGAGAGAGAGAGAGAGAGAGAGAGAGAGAGAGAGAGAGAGAGAGAGAGAGAGAGA